TAATAATATTGGGAATCAAATTTGATTTTCCCAATATAATAGTTATTCGGCACGAAGTGCCGAATAACTATTAACTATAATATATGCATTAAATGCGTTTTATCACTTTTTACTATTTTTCACACTTATAATTTCTTTATTATCACATATTTCTCAAGTAGTTTTTATCTTTAAAATTGTAAAAGGCTAGGTTTATATGATACGAAAAATAAAATATAAACAAGACGAGAAATAAAACTATTAATAAAACATCAAACGAATTCGAATAAACAATTTGAAAATCAATGATTTCTTCAGCAATATATGATCATCAACCGACCGCATATTATGCATGATAATCTAATCAACTAACCAAATTAAGTAAGTACACTGACGATTCCGTTTAACAAGGGCTGAATAAAAAAAACTATAAAGTCGTTCAAAATTAACTCTCTTTTTAACCTCCTTCTTTAACAAAAATTATAGGAATTTATCAAAAAACTTGAGACTAATTTTTGGAAATTAAATGGCAGGCTTGAAAACTGAAATAGCTCTTGATTGTTCTGATATTCAAATAACAATCCTACCAGCTTTACCTAACTCCATAACAACACTCCGCTGCCATCATACTAAAATAACCAACTTGCCAACCTTACCTAACTCCTTAACAGCACTTCACTGTGATAATACTGAAATAAATAGCTTACCATCCTTACCTATTTCTTTAATAATTCTTGATTGTTCTAATACTCAAGTAACTAGTATACCAACCTTACCCAACTCATTAACACATCTCCGTTGCTTTAATACTAAAATAACTAGTTTATCAAACATACCCAACTCTTTGAAAGAACTCCAATGCCAAAATACTGAAATTAATGGCATACCAACCTTACCTAATTCTTTAATAACTCTTAATTGTTCTTATACTCAAATAACTCGTCTACCAACTTTACCTAATTCCGTAGCGACACTCCATTGCCATCATACTAAAATAACCAGCTTGCCAACCTTACCTAACTCCTTAACAGCACTTCACTGCGATAATACTGAAATAACAGTCATACCTTCCTTACCTATTTCTTTAATAACTCTTGATTGTTCTAATACTCAAATAACTGGTCTACCAACTTTACCCAACTCATTAACACATCTCCGTTGCTTTAATACTAAAGTAACCAGATTACCAAACATACCCAACTCTTTAAAAGAACTCCAATGCCAAAATACTGAAATTGCTGGCATACCATCATTACATAATTCTTTAATAACTCTTGATTGTTCTTATACTCAAATAACAATTCTATCAACTTTACCTAACTCCTTAACAACACTCCGCTGCCATCATACTAAAATAACCAGCTTGCCAACCTTACCTAACTCCTTAACAGCACTTAACTGTGATAATACTGAAATAACTAGCTTACCGTCCTTACCTATTTCTTTAATAACTCTTGATTGTTCTAATACTCAAATAACTAGTCTACCAACCTTACCCAACTCATTAACACATCTCCGTTGCTTTAATACTAAAATAACTAGTTTATCAAACATACCCAACTCTTTGAAAGAACTCCAATGCCAAAATACTGAAATTAATGGCATACCAACCTTACCTAATTCTTTAATAACTCTTAATTGTTCTTATACTCAAATAACTCGTCTACCAACTTTACCTAATTCCGTAGCGACACTCCATTGCCATCATACTAAAATAACCAGCTTGCCAACCTTACCTAACTCCTTAACAGCACTTCACTGCGATAATACTGAAATAACAGTCATACCGTCCTTACCTATTTCTTTAATAACTCTTGATTGTTCTAATACTCAAATAACTGGTCTACCAACCTTACCCAACTCATTAACAAATCTCCGTTGCTTTAATACTAATGTAACTAGATTACCAAACATACCCAACTCTTTAAAAGAACTCCAATGCCAAAATACTGAAATTGCTGGCATACCAACATTACATAATTCTTTAATAACTTTAGATTGTTCTTATACCCAAATAACTAGTCTATTAAATTTACAAACTCCTTAATAGGTTTTCATTTATATTAAAATTTAAAATTTTAAATTTCTTTTTTTTCTATTTATAATAATGTTCAAATAAGTGGACTGTTTCAAAAATTTTGTATGTCAGTAATTTTTATGAATTCTCATATTTATATAATCATATTTATTTAAATAAAATTTGATATTACTATTAATCAATATATTCTGAATAAATGAAATAATAGGCAGATTATTAAAATTATTATAAACGCAAATGATTTATTAACACGTTAAAAAAGTGAAACATTCATTCTACTTTAAAATTCTGTTATGTAAATGTTTTGATTCACAAAAAACATTGCTGAACATTTTTTACGAAAACTATTGAGTTCTATACTAATCAATTTTCGATACAAGGGTCAAAGATCGTTATTATATTATTATTTTATTACGAGAATTTCATATTAAATTAGAACTAAACAACATATAAAAATCAATTCATAAATATTAGATAAATAGTGAATGTTTTCACGTTCTGAAATGAATTGTAATATTGTTGAATTTCTTTTGTTAATCAGCCTGAATTAAACACAATCTCTTATAATTGATTTTACATATTCAGCATCTTGTAAGGGCCTTCCTAACCTCCTTAAAAATTTCATTCAAGAAGCTAAGGTTGGAAAGTCTCACGATAAAATTATTATATTCGGCGTTATACTTAAATGACATGTTTTAAAACTATATCGGCTCTTATGTGAAATTATCTTCGGATCGGATTCAACATGACCAAAAGAAAACTAGAGTATTTTGTTCCGAATATAACCCAATTACGATTCGAATTTTAATTCAGCATTAATCAAAAGAAAGCCATATTCATCAATCCTTTTACGTCGACATACCTTTATTATAATAGTTTCACAAATTTCGGAGGAATTTCAATATCATTTAATTGTATTGTCATTCTTATTAACTTTTTTCTAATTCCAACATTTTTCTAAATACTTCGATTTCGATTTTTTGATTTTCATAATCAGACCTTCATGTTGAAACTTTTCTTCCTCTTTCTTGAAGTTGTTTATAATTCGGAATTAATAGTGACATCTCTTTCTTCATGTACATAGTTGTTTAATTCTTTTACTTTCTTCAAATTTTTTTGCTTTTTTTGCTTTTCCAAACCTAGTACTTATCGTTGTAATTTTCAAATTGCTCATCTCTTTCTTTAAGATTTCTCAAATGGATAATTATTGCATATTTTAGTTTTAAAATATTCAAGTTGCCAGCTAATACCACAAAATTGAACGATTAAAAAGTCGTTATTAATTTTTTCCTCATTTATTTATAAACTCGATGTCATCTTAAGTTTCACGATGATGGTAAGTATTTTTTATTAACATTTTACTAAAAAACGTTTTCGACGGGTAACAAAAATTTTGAAGAGTAGTAAAAGTTTTCAAAGGATAGCAAAACTCATCAAAACCTTTTAGCAATTATCAACTTACCATTACTTACCAGAATTATATTTTTTGATTCCAGTAATTTTTTATTTTATTCTTTTTTTTTTTTGTTTACTAGACAAATAAACAATCGCATTAATAAATAAATAAATATACTAGTTAAATATATTTGAAATACTTCGTATTCTTCAATGGAAAACAATCCTTAATTTCTCTAATTGCTTTTTCATAAGAATCCTTTATACAAAGAACTTTACCTCCATATACAATAAGATTTCTCCAACCAAAAGCTGGACCACGATTGTTCCATTGTTTTATAGTCCGATTATCATCTAAAACAATTTAATTAAATGTAAATAATTATATTAGAGTCCTTATCCTTAAATGAGAATATGAAACTAGTAACACCGTAACTTATAGGAAATTCATAGATTTAACGCTATAATCTACCTCTTCTCTTTTACATTATGATACGAGTTTTGATAATCACAAAGTTCTTGGAACTTTTCACAAGTAAATCCATTACGAGATCCACAAAGTAATAATTTAAATTCATATAGACTTTTTTAATTCGTCTTTGACATCCATTTGTTTAATCCATTTCGAGATTTAATTCAAGTAATAATTTTGGATCATTATTTATTAAGCTATTCATTTTGGTCTCTGAGGTTTTGACTTGCACCTTGGTATATAGACATTATCTAAGAAACATTTATTTAGATCCGTATATAATTCCTTGGTAATGCTTACTTGTACGGTAGTACTTTACAGAATTCTTTGGAAGTAAGGTTGTAGTATTTCAATAAATGGAACGCATTGTTGTAAAGAATTTTCAAAGCATTAGTCAGAAGCCTCTGAGAAATTTCTGGATTTTGAACGATTCCTCATTTAAGAACATATCCTCAAACTTGAACATCACTCATTGAAAGGTTCATTTTGAATGAGAGAGACCAAAGAATTTACCGGAATTGTAACAAAATTAGATTTGAATATTTTTTTTTCTGGTTCCTTGGACATTAAATTGTTACAAAACCTTTAAAGTTCTAAGAAGAATCATGTTTAAAACTTGTTTGATATATTAAATTAAAATTTTGTTTCATTAATCGGAGTGAATAAAACCGGCATATATGAAGGTGCGTATCCTATCCCAATAAAGAGCAATATCAAAAAAAAATTTGAATTATTGAAAGCGTGAGAATTTTAAATTTGTTTTGTTCAATAAAAGCATATCGACATTTTGCGTCACCCTAAACCTCCCACATATATGTTTATTCAATTATTTAAGTTGTTAACATCGCTCCAGAAACTTTCATAAAAATTGCATCAATAGTCCTTTTTTAGTGTATAAAAAGAAGCGAGACATTTACAAGTTTTTTTTTTTAGTAAAAAGAGATCTAGAAATATTTTGAATTAAGCTTCAAAATAAAAACATTGTCGTCGCTTATTGAAAAAAATTAATATAAGTACAATGAATATGAGGCCAGTTAATTTTGAATACAAAAGACAAGCTCATTCAAAAAAAAAAAAAATAAAATCTAAAGGGTTTTTAGAAATCACTTCATTCTATTAAGACTTGTTATTAAAATGTTCAGTGGAATTGCGCAAAAGATATGCTACATGTCCGAATTTTATCGAGTAAAATCCGTAACGTGATTTAATAGCATGTCCTAATTTATGAAAACAAAGTTTATTTTAATTCAACTTCTCAATAATGTAATATGTTGTGCATTTTTTTTATTTCGAAAATTGCTACACGATCAGCATTTTTATTTCCAATAAAAAAATACATACTTTTATTATTGGTATGGTATCCATTTATACAACTTTGACAAATGTTTACATTGTCATGAAAAGATGAAGGCACAATTTGTGGAGAAACTTTAGTGAAAAACCAATCAACAAATACTAAATCTAATACAACTTTTTGCTTCGTAACACCTCGTTGTGTAAGAGGTTTCTGACGAAAATCTACCATATAGTTACGTTCAGTTTTTTTTCTTTTCCATTCTACTACCATATTCATTTTTACAATCCAAACAAATAAGACAAATTGGACAAGCATTCAAACGAAATTCTAAGAACGAGACTGTATAGTTAAATATGGTTGGTTGTACAAAAAAAAAAAAATACCAGTGATTTGCTTTTGGTGTAACGCGTCAAAAATTCAAGACGTGTATATTATTTTTATTTTCGAGTTGCCGGGTTGCCGAGTTGCCGGCAAGTACTCGGCATCAAATTTGTCAAGTGTCCCGTAACTTATGAAAACAGCTGTAAATTTATTTTTAGTAATTCAATTTTCAATATAAAGTCAAAATTAATCTTTTTGATTTATCATTTGATCTTAATAAAAAGTTGTATGTGAGACAATATACTGTACATATTTTAATTTTGTAAAGCCATTGATATGAAGATAAATTAATTTTAACTTTTTAAAATTATAAGAGATAATTTTTAACGTTATATTTTATTAAAAGAAATGTTGTCAAATGAACGGAATGAATGTGAAAAATTCTTAAAAAAAAATTATTTTTAATAATCAGATATCTTTACGATCGACTTGCCAACACTATTACCGACCAACATATCAATAAAACCTTTTACAACATTTTCGATTCCCATGGTAATATTTTCTTTACAAACGATTTTACCGGATTTAACCCATTCTAACATATCCTTTTCAAAATCTTTTTCAGTTTGGGTTCCATAAAAGTCCGACATTAGAAATCCGTGAACGCAAATACTCTTATGAAAGATTAATTCCAAATTTTTTACTCCATACTTTTCGTTTGGATTCGTAATATTATATTGTGATATCATACCACAAACTGGTATGCGAGCTAAGCGATTGCAATGATTTAGGACTACCTCGAGTGTTTCGCCGCTAATTTTATTTTATTTTATATTTTTTTTTTATAATAACGAGAAATTAGTGAGAGTTCACACGCGAAAGAAATCACGAGAAAAAAAATTGTATATATATATACCCGACGTTTTCAAAGTAAATATCAATACCGTTTGGACAAAGTTTCGATAATGTCTATAAAAAGTTCATGAATTTGTAAGGATTAAAAATTCCTAATTGAAAGAAAAAAATATCTTAATCATACCTTATCAAGGTCAACTTTTTTATAGTTAAAGGCAGCATCAAATTTTAATTCATTCAGAAGGTAATCGACTTTTTCGTCAGATCCAGTAGACCCAATCACCTTCATTCCTTTAATTTTGGCGATTTGACCAACAAGTTGTCCGGTGGCTCCAGCCGCACTCTAGAAAAAATTAAGAAATTTACACAGTTGGGTTATTATTTTTTTTTAAAAAAAAATATAAAAAATAGAGTAAGAAACGTACAAGCTTATCTTTTACATACCGAAATATAAATCGTTTCTCCTGCTTTTGGTTTTCCGAGAGCCATTAAGGATCCGTAAGCAGTCAATCCACTAAGCTGAAAAGCGCTATGTTGAATACTCAATGGAATCTCGGGTAATAACTTTTTATGATAATTAATGTTTTTAAAAGGAACACTGTTTATTCTATTTTCATCAGTCTTAATATGAGTGTATTCTTCCCAACCTAAATTCAAAAGGGAATATTTATTATTCAACTTTAAAAAAAGGTTCATTTATAATTTAAGTAATAATTCTCATTTATTTACCAATAAATCCGTAAACGAGATCACCAACTTTATGGTTATGATCATTTGATTTTATAACTTCAGAAACTCCAAGGCCACTTATAACGTGACCAATTCTTTGCGGTGGCAAAAATGATTCACTATGAGGTTCTCTTAAGGTCGTACGAATATAAGGATCTAAAGACAAATAAAGATTCCTCAAAATAAAATCATTTTTTCCCAATTTCAAATTTTCAATATCAATTGTACGATGAATTAATTCAAAGTGTACGTCGGGTTGGGGTATTCCTTCTGGGATAGCCTTGAAAATGATTCCGTTGTTCGATACTGCTGGCATGATTTAATTGTCAGTAAAAGTCAAAGAACTTGTAGAGAAGGAAAAAAATCTCAACATTTATACTAATATTATACGAAATTCTATACGGCTAAAAAATTAAGAGCAATGTCTCTAATACGACTAAAATATTAAGAGTAATTCCACTATACGGCTAAAAGATTAAGAACAATGCCAAGTTGAAAATCAAACGTTCGTTAATTTATTTGATCAGAAATGACCTTTCTATAAAGGGAAATTTACATAGTTTTCCATATGTCGATCCAATAAAATGAATAATGCGAGTAGCCGGGAATTTTAAACTCATTTCTACATGTAAAAAAATTCGCAAGTATTTATGCCGAATTAAAATTCATTTATATTATTAAATATTTATTCATTCGGATTTAAAAAGCCGAATCCAAAATCCTTTCGTTTCAACTCTCGGAAAAAAGTAATATATTTATGTCGATCAAAAATCGGCATTGCTCAAATAAATCACTTACCAAACTTGTCCTAGCCATTTAATTAGTTCAAATGTACTTTATTGCTTGCTTTATACTAATGCGACTAGTTACCCAATGCCCCGTCTAAAAAAATACGGCCTGGGTCACCAGAGAAATTTAAATTATACAGCTTAGTCAGTGTTTACATGCTACGCCACATTGTTTATTCATTGCAAATTTGATGAAAAATCAATTTATTCAAAAGTTTTTCACGAGAAAAAAAATGTCGTCATACACTAAATTACCGGTGGCTTAAATTGGATTATCTCAAGAAAAATATATCAAATACTACGAATACAAACATTTTATCAATTTTCAAAAATTGGTGCTGGCGTCTTTGGAAAAGTTTATCGTTAAAATCATTTCATAATCTCAACAATGTCTCTGTTAAAAAAATTTGATCATGAGGAAAAAAATTGAGATTGTATTTCAATCTATCTATTTAGTATAAAATCCTTTTATTCTAATAATTTCAACGGAAAGTTGATTTTTATAGCAAATTCATTCGCTTTACATTATCAAACAAAGGTATAAATTATGCGTATATATATAAACCTTGCATTTTATTTTTAAATTCATTAAATTACTTTTCTTTATTATTTTTTAAAAAAAAAAGAAAATCAAATGATCAATTGAAAAATATTGGTTAGTAATAGATATGCTGTGATGCTCTTAAAAATATTATTGGAAGGTTACTTTGATAAGCTTGCTTGAGGAGATAAATACAACTTGGCATTCCAGTTAGCTTATGCTATATTTTGTTTACAAAACGAAGGAATTGTGCTTCGTGATTTGATAATATTACATCTTCTTCAGAATATTGTTATTTAAAAATTAATTTATTTTTTTATATGCATTTCAATAGTATTTTGGCAAAGGTATTATATTATTAAACTAGCTGACTTTGGATTATCAAAAAGAATTGAAGCAGAAACTAATCAGGCAAAAACTTTTAGAGTAATTCCTTACGTTAACCCAAAAACTTTTTAACAGACGATAAAGTAACCAGTATTTGAACTTAATGAAAAGAGTGACATTTACAATGTTGAAATACGACGTAAATTTAACTATTGACATTTTAGGAAAAAGATCATTTCTGACATACCTAAAGATTATGAGAATATAAATTTAATTAAATTTATAATATAAATATTTTTTCTAAGTAATTTTTTAGAATGCTAGAATAATAAGCCAGATAAGCGTCCAGTTATGAATAAGTAGTTGATAATTAAATTTACCAGTCACAGGCCAATGGATCATCATAAAAGTTAAATAACCCATTTATATAATTTACCGATAAAATTAATAGCAAATTTATTTATTATAACAACTTTAACAACTTTTTTATAAATTTTAATTATATAAATAATCAAAAATTAAAATTAAAATAATAATATTTCCTAATAAGAATATTATTGTGAAAGTCTACTTCTTAAAATATTGAATGATCTAATTCTTTCAAAAAAAAAAAACCTTATAACTAATGTCTAAATTAAATAATAAACAAATTAAATTAAAAATTTTTTAATTTTAAATTTTAAAAAATAATAAAATAACAATTACTTAAATGTAATCTCTATCTTTAATACAGAATTAAAAAAGAAATAAAAACTATTCTAACAAGTTTTACCTAAAATAATAAGAAAAATAGTTTAATTATAATATAAATTTTACTTCTCAAAGGTCAAATGATGAGGTATTAGTGAAAAATAATAAACCTGATTCTTCACTGATACCTTTATTATACAGTTCTGATACTTATTTCTGATTAAATGCAAAGTCTTGTAGCATTTCTAGCTACAATCAGTTAAAATTATTTCATAAACACCAAATAATTATTAGTAAGAAATCAGATTTCAGATTTTTTATCAATAAATGCTAATTTTTACTTGATTAATAATCGAAGATTTTGAACTTTTATCAAAGTATCAGATGAAAATATCATAATAATTTCAGATTTTATTACATTTATACAATATCTTAAAGATCTTTTTGAAATATCTTATAAGTATAATTAAACAATATGATATACTTCAGATAGAAATAGATGCATACAATATATAATTTATTTATTTTATTATTTATTTATTTCATTATATTTTTATTATAATATCAATTACATATAAAATATCATACATTAAAAATATAAATTATCATAATTTTATAAGAATTAATTAATTAATATTTAATAAATATGCAATTAATTTTCAATTTCAATAATATTATGTTATTACATCATCAATTATTTTTATCATCATCATATTGATCATTATCATATCAATTATTATTATCATTATATATAAAACAGTGAAATTGACCAGTCCAGTGTATTTTCTGGTGGTTTAGATTCATCAAATCATTGTACCAATGATGATGTAAAATTTTTATATAACTTTGTCAGCCAGATAATGTAAAGTTCGTACCTATTAAAATTAATAAAAAATATGATAAATTAATAAAAAAATTAAATAAATAATTTGCAATGAATCATCAATGCCAATAAGAATTTGTACAAATTCATCTGTGTTTTAATAAAAGATAGTTAACAGTTAATAAATTTATTAGAGATTGAT